GGTCCAGGTTTTCTGACTCCAAATTCAGTCCTCCCTTCCTTCCTTCTTTCCTTCTTCTCTCCTTCCCTCCCTTTCTTCCTTCCTTCTTCCCTCCTTTCTTTCCTTCCTTTCTCCTGAACAGTTCCACAAGTTGTCTAAACTGATTATTTGATTAGGTTACCCCAAATTTTAGAGTTCTCTCACCACTTTTGCAACCATGGGAGCTTTCTCAGAAGGGATGGGGTTTGCTTTTCAGGGAAAGGCTTCATATGTTTCTTCTACTCTCCTCCCCCACTCTCACTACCATCGTCCTGATGCCTGCACTGAACATCCTCTTAAAGTCTTATTCATCTACCCTAACAGGAATTCACATTCCTTCCCTGTTCCTCCACCTGTTCCTTGGAACCAAAAGCAGGTTTTTAGAATTCCTCACCACCCTGTTCCCAGAACCTTCAGATAAAGAATTATTTATTCTTTGCCAGATTGGCATTTACCTTCCCACTCAATAAATAACTCTTCTCTGTGCACACAGCCTGTCTCCTCCTCTGCCTTGCCAGTTCTGTGGTGCTGGGGAGGTTACTTATCACTAAGCTTATCTTTCTTCTTATGCAACCTCCCTGCATCCCCTCCGCTGCCTCTCTTCTCACCTTCCCAAACAAGGTATCTGAATCTGCAACTCTACCACCCCCCCACCCCACCCCCCACCTCTGCCTTGGAATTTGGAGTAACTTCTTATTCCAAACTGAGCTGCTGCATCATTCTAGTGGCTGGGGAACAGGAGGACCACTCCCAGTACATGGAGAACAGGCAAGAGAGGGCCTATTTTTCCTCCCTGTCATCGCTCTGACAGACACCATCCATCACTGTCAGACTTGTCAATGTCATCATCATTGTTAACATCTGAAGGCATTTATTAAGAGCTTACCTTCTTTCATGTTCTGCTTGCCGTATGCTTTGCAAAGGATACAGATCCCTGCCCTTTAAGAGTACATACTCTAAGACAACAGTATCCTATGATTTTTTTTTTAAATCTATGGAACCCCTGCTGTGTACCTGATGGGATATGACAGGTGAGGGGGGTGAGGTAGCAATGAACATAAGGAAAGAGATGAGATTCAACTTCAATCAGTCAAAAATTTATTAACTGTCTTACATGTGAAAGGCGAGCAGTGTGGAGTAGTGGCTAGAGAGCCGGCCTCAGAACTAGGAAGACCTGTGCTCCAGTCTTGCCTCTGACACACACTGACTGGGTATCCCTGGAAAATTCACTTAAACTTTTAGTGATCTAGGCACCTTTACAAAACTTTAGGTAACGGAGAAGGTGCCAATCTGCACTGGCAGAAGGAGCGTTCTCATCTGGAAGGATTTCCCTACATCAATAAAATTAGAGGTTCAATGTCCATCCCTAACCTAAAGGCAAGGCATTATGTACTATGGGGAATCCCAGGATGTGAATACCATAAGCCTTGCCTTTATGAAGCTTACAACTTAATTGGAAGATAACAGAAAGATAACTGAGAATACAAGGCAGTCAGGTTGGTGATTGGTAAATATTCTTCATTGGAGGTCTTTAGATAAAGGCTGGTTAAGCATTTATCTGATATGATGCAGGGTGGGTTAATTCTTCAGTCATTGGACAAGATCAGGGGGTTCTTGAACTTTTTTTTTTTAACCATTGACTCCCTTTGGAATTTTGGTGAAGTCTGCAAACTCCTCAGAAAAATGTTGCCTTTCTTGAAATTAGTAATTGAAGGAAATGCTGGTTCATTTAGAGGTTAGTGAAAATAAAGATATAATTATTATTTTCCATACAAGTTCATAGACTCCTTGAAATCTATTTGTGGACTCTTTGAAGATCTAGGGAACTCGGATTAGGAATCCCTAGGTTCTAGGACTGGGTAGAAGCAGAGACCTATAGAAACTCAAATATTCTGTCATTTTACGACTGTGAACTGAGTTGATCAGGGAAGCTTCCTAGAGCTTGGGGGAGGAAGGATTTAAACAAAGTCTTGAAGTTTATGTAGGATTAATGTAGACAAGAAGAAGGAAGGCACTGGAGAAGGGAGGAACAGTGCGAGCAAAGACACAGAATCAGTAAGCTTTAAGGTGTGTTTGAAGAACTGGATGATGAGTAGATCAGTCTGTCTAGAATATACTATTTCTGTAGAGTAGAAATGGGAAATTAAGACTGGGAATGTACACTGGAGTCGTGGGGGAATCTTGAGTGTCATACTTAGGAGGTGGGACTTTATCCATGGAATCCTAGGATTCTATAGCTGTAAGGGCTTTTGGTGATCTTTCAGTCCAATAATTTCAAGTTAGAGATTGGGAAACTGAGGCACAAAGAAGGCATTTGCTCAAGATAATAAAGCAAGTTATCGATAGAGACAGGATTTATTGGTCAGTTAAACCAATTCATGTTTCTTGTCAAAACTTGAGAAAGGTGAGTGAGGAAACACAGGACAATGTAAGCCAATAAGTATATCTTTTGGATTTACCAAAGTGCCTGGATGTATTTGTTGGGAGAAGATAGAATAAAGGGCTTAATGGCACGGTGGGGCAACACCAAAACCAAGTTCCTTCCTCAAGATGGCAGAATGAAGAGGAGCAGAATAATCACTGGTGTGCTGGTAAATATTTAACAACTGGCTCCCCCATAAAAAGAAGTATGAAGAACATACGTATAAGTTTAATCTTAATTATTAACACTTTATAAGGGATTAATCCCTTTGTTAAGACTAGACAAACAAAAACAAAAACAAAAACAAAAAAACTCAAAAAACAAAACCCCAGTAAATCAAGCTTTGATTTGTAGCTTTTGCTGATTTCCAAGGTATAAATGCTGACACCGAAAAACCGAACAATTATCTTGGGAGCTAGCTTCAGCGCACTCTGAATACCTAGCTCTTTCATGACTACACCAGCAAGAAAGGGTAGCACAACCTTCTTGTTGTTGAGTCATTTTTCAGTTGAGACTGACTTTTCATGACCCCATTTGGGGTTTTCTTGGCAAAGATATTGGAGTGGTTTATCATCTCCTGCTCCAGCTCATTTTACAGATGAGGAAACTGAGGCAAACAGGGTTAAGTGACTTGCCCAGGGTGACACAGCTAGTAAGTGTCTGAGGCCAGATCTGAACTCAGGAAGATGTCTTCCTAACTCCAGGCCCGGCCCTCTATCCACTGTGCCAGTTAACTGCTTGACCCTACTTCTACCCGTGCCTCTAATTTCCTACTTGTCCACACACATTTAATAATTTCTATCAACAAAGTGGAATAGGAGAAAAGTTTTCTTAGCAAATATCAACCACCAAAACTACTATTTCCTAATGAGTATATCCCTAGATGTTATTCCGCTCGGCCCGAGCAAACCCGGGAAAAGCTCTGGTTATCAGTACGGTAACACTGAGTTGAATGGGTCCATCAACAAGCATTTAACACTACACGCCAGAAACTGCTAGCTTTAGAGCAGGCTTAATGCCAGCACTCTTCTAGCTCAAGTTTGATTTTGGAATGAAATGAGGCTTTTGCAAATCACTGAACAAAAAGAGGGTTTTCCTTTGCCCAAACACAGTAAGGCTATGCAAGCAGGATACAGTGGCATTTATGTTCACCTCCCTCACCTCTTCACGGATCTCAAGCACTCCCTGAGTCTGAAAGGCCCGGACCCCAGTGGCTGGGATTGCCCTTCAGGGACCAGAAGCTGCATCTGGGAAATCCCAGGGACAGCTTTGTGTCTCTTTCAGGAAAACTAATCCATATTGCAAGTTAGTGAATTAGGTAGGCTTGGGCCTACCCAGCGTTTAGGGGTGCGGGGAAAGAAGCGTGGGCCAGTGGGGTCTTAGGGTCATCTTGGTCTTCTCTGAAGGAAAGCTAAATGCCTGTCAGAGGAGGGAAGGAGCAGAGGTGGACCTCGGAACGAAGATTATAGGGAAATGCTGGCAGACAGCAGTGCTATCCTAGCTAGGCACAGCATATACAGAGACACGAATAAAAAAGTCCCTTCTCTTGAGGAGGCAACGTATAAAACAATATACAAATAAATCCAAGGTCACAGGCTCATAGGCTCATAGATTGAGAGCTGGAAACCTAGATGAAAGGTCATCTTCATCCACACCCCTCACTGTGCATATGAGGGAACTGAGGCCTAGGAAATGAAGTGACTTGGCTAAGGTCATAGAAGGGTTAGTGACAATGGCGGGATTTGAACCCAGGTCTGGTAACTCCGAGTTTAGCACTGCAGACTTGGTGCTTTTTCCCCTTCAGCATAATGCCTTTCCCGTTGTAACTTCATTCATTATGTTATCGATGCTTTCATTCAAAAAATATTCCTTACTCTTTATTAGGCACATAAAGTAGTTTTTGGACATTCAAGGGCATTTAAAGAATAGATATTTGGGAAAATACTATTCATGTATAACATGGCAGCAGATGGTGAGGTAAGGCTATGCAATCTCCTGCTGAGGAAATCTAAGAACAGAAGGGACTTATCTCTTCTGGGATGTGAGATATATGTGCTAGGAGAGCGAGGGATGGGTGAGACCCTTGGGTGTCTCTGCCAACCAAAGGTACCTGTAATTGGAGGTCTGAAGGGTTGACTAGGATCTTAGTGGCCATCAAGTCCAACTCCCCTTCCCCTCATTTTACAGATGAAGAAACTAAGGCACAGAGAGGTGAAGGACTCGTTTAGAGTCACACAGCTATTAGGTGTCTAAGATGGCACTTGAACTCAGGTCTTTCTGACTTCAAGTTCAGCACTCTATCCACTAGGCCATTCTGCCTCTTAGGGGAAAAAAAAACGGGACTCCTGCATGCAGAGCTGATTCTAGCATGAAATACTTGCTTCTCCACAGACTAAATGTGAAAAATTCTGCTTATTTTAATGTAGTCTCATTTCCCACTCAACCAGCATAGAGTAACAAAGGCATTTGTAGAAGAAAATGAAAGAAAAGTTGCCTGGGCCTCTGTGTTTTGACTTTCCCCCACCCTGAGCCACTTCCTGTGTTTTCATTTTCAACAGACTCAGTGGAGGCAGTTAAATGAGTCCAACCTGAATAGAAGCAAGCAGTGAGTCTGTGATGAATACATTATACAGAGGTTTTCGGCTTTAATTTTCTCCTCAGTGGACATATTGCATCTGTAGCTGCTCACCCTGGAGTGGTAGGCATTTATCTCAATGAAAACAGACAAAACCAGCCCAGGCAGCTCACTGGTCCAAGGCCGCTCGGTTGTCAGCTTCCACGTTCTGCCGAATGCAAGCTTGCTGCTCCTCTCCGAGTAGTTCAGCTCAGCAGAGTGAGAGCACCCCCAGCCCAGCCCCAAACACGGGCCAGCGCTTCAGAGCAAAACAGCACCCATCAGCACAACCACAGCAGTGGCGGCAGCAGCAACAGCTACCCAAGAGCAGCCAGATGAGGGAGGCCCGTGGCACTCTGCAGAGCGGATCAACCCAAACACACCCACCTGAATTGTTGACAGCTTAGGAGCTGACATCTTGATAAACAGAAGCAAGACACCCTGAATTTCTAAGTGACAGGTGCAGTTTCTATTAACTTCAAAAAGAATCTCAGGTGTGTGTCGGGGGTGGAGGGGATTTCCATCCCAGCACTCAGGAATAAAGGGGAGGGGGATTGATTATTTGCTCAATTCACTTAAGAATCTTGGAAAGTGATGTTTGGGATAGTGCTGGATGATTGCTTTACATTCTGATTCTTTTCTTCTCCTTTTCTTTTTTTTTTAAACTTCAAATTCCTCTGAACCACAGCCGAGTAAGAAAATCCAGGGGCACAGCCTCTGAAGGCAAGGCTGGGATGCCTTTTGCCCACAAATGCTATCCCTTAAAGCCATCACCTGAAGCTCCAGCATTTTTTGGTTTTTATCAAATTCACCCCTTCACCCTCACCCACCCAAGTCAAACATTCAAAGTACCATTTTCCTGGCAGGCAACATTTGTATTTCTCCAAGGAATCTTTTCTTTGAAAGGAATGAGCTATCACTGGGGATCTCTGATGCTGCCTGGAGTTCAGGTCCTGTCTGAGACACTACCCAAGTCTCCAGCATAAAGGACATCTGGACTTAGGTGAATTTGTTCTGGAAATGTTCTGGGTGGCTTTCCTAGGTTGGCTGGGAACTGGGATACAGAGACTTACTAGCTATCAGGTATGAGAAGACGGATCTCCAAGAGACGTCTAAGGAACTCTTAAATTGTCATTTGAATCTAATTCTGTCTGAAGATAGAGACGTGGACCAGTATTCCTTTAACTGAGGAACTGCTGAGACATACACATACTCAAGAGCACGATGTGTCACGGCACGATGGTGTCAGCTCTGGTTCCCCTCCGTCTAGATGGCTGCTGGAACAATTGCTGCCGTTTTCAATCAACAGGCATCTACTAAGATGGAGGAATGCAAAGAGCAAAGTGAAAGATCCCCTGACCTTGAGGGGCTTAGATTCCATCAGGAGTTTATCTTCCCTTTTGATGTCCTGTGATACCACACTCTCATAAACTCATAGGATTTGAAGAGGAAGAATAAACACATACATTTACACATCATCTACTCGAATCACATCTTTTACTGATGAGGAAAAGGGGTCAAAAGGCATTGTGTCTTGCCCAAAGTAGGAATGAACAGAGATAGGATTAAATCCAGGCCTTGCAATTATAAGTCTAGCTTGATGATAGAATAGAAAGCACACTCGGCCTTTAGTCAGAAAGATCTGAGCTTGAATCCTACATCAGAGCCTTATTAGCTGTGTGACACTGGGTAAGTCACTTAATCTTTGTCTGCCTCAGTGTCCTCAGCTGTAAAATAGGGATAACAATAATAGCACCTATCTCCCAGGGTTGACGTGAGATTAGAATGAGATGTTCACAAAGTGCTCCACAAACCTTACATACTCTCTAAATGCTAGCTTTGTTAGCTCTCCCTACCTGAGCCTAGCTGCTGGCTGCTAGTCTGCCATACTGCCTGTTCCAGGCTGTCTTCACTTAGGAGGCTCAGACGTGAAGCGTTTGTCATGTACACATCAACTCCCACCTTCTCTCCTCTGCTTATCACAGAGAACTTTAGCTTCCATGCAGTCCAGTATTAACACATAATCAGAGATAACCCCTCAGTCAATATTCAGTTAATTTTTCCTTAACAGAATTCTCTCTTCCCTCTTGAATAGGGGTTCTTAACTGGGTGGCCATACATTTGTTAGTTTACTTTAGAAACTGATCATTGTATCTCAGTCTAATTGATTTCCTTTGCAATTCTATGTATTTTATTTAACACATCTAAAACATTATTATAAGAAGGCTTCACCAGACTGCCCAAGGAGTCCATGACCTAGAAAGGATTTATAACCCTTATTCTGGAAGGACAGTTTGGGACTGATGATACTGAGCTATGAGGGTCAGAGGAGCAGTACGACGCCACATCTATCATGTTCTCACTTCCCAAAGAGTAGAAGGTCAGCCCCACAGAAGAAGGAGACAACTGGGGGAAAACAAAGTCTTCCAGATTTTATCTGTGTCCCAAGTGACTTTCTTGGGGGAAAGTCAACCCAATACCTGTACCTCATACCAGAGACTAGACCCCTCTCTGCCCGTTGTTCTAGAAAAGGACAAGCCAGCTTTGTGGGTTTGGTTGAGAGTGTGTGTGTGTGTGTTGCATCCCTGCCCACTAATATGATATCTTTCACATAGAGAAATAGAGGTATGCAGACCCAAAAGAAGAGAACATACTTCCGTTCTTCAGTTAGCCATCATTTTTCCATGATGGTCACAGGAAGCCACCTGATCTCCTTTATGACTCACAAGTTTGTTCACTCATTCATTTACTCAGAAATATTTATTGATTTCCTACTATGCATAGAGCTCTGTTTTAGAAGGTATGGGGGGGTATTAACTTTGCAAATTTTTAAATTGGTTTTATTTGCATAATTGCTAGCCCAGTGTGTAGTCTTCAGTCACGGAACAGAGGGAAGCCATGTAGAGATGTTGAGACCAAACCCATGACTATGATTTTTATCATTCTCACTCTCATTTATCATTATATGTGTTTTGTAGAGAAATGCCATCCTATATGTGTCATCTGAATAATGTATGATCAGCTCTGGGCCTCTTCTATGAGAGTAAGAAGGGGCCAAGTTCCCACAGGAAGGTGCGAGCACAGGATGCTGCCTCAGTCCTTTGGGACAGAGATAGACATGACCATCATCCTGCCTGCTCCCTGTACCAGCACCTGAAGCCCGCTTCACTCACATCTGCCCAATCTTGACGTTCCTGTCAAAGGCTCCCTGACCTACAGCTTTTATGGCCTGATCTGGAGAGCAGAGGTGCATTCAGGAAAGACAGCTTCCCATACACTGACGATGTGCTCTTGTCCACTGCTTTCCAGCTGGGGAAAGGACTCACTATTGCCCCTTTAAAGGGGATTCTCTTGGGTTTTTTGTGCTGCTTTCCCAAGGCTGAAGGGTGTAGTAAGCATCTCATCACTCTCTTGTCCTGGGGCACACATCTGGATGCCTTCCTCTGGCCAGGAGATCCTATTTCATGGAAGTGTCACGGGCAGAGGCAAGCAGGCTCTGCCTGGGTGGGCCCCACATGAAGCCTGGTGCTCAGATCAGTCAAAAAGCTCCACCAAGAACCAATCCCTGGGCTAAATGCTGTTCATGTCCTCAATCAGATGGTGTCCAGTGACAGCCTCCCAACCAAGCCCTTTCTCTTCCTCTTCAGCTTATCAACCTAACACAAACCACTGGAATAAACTGTCTTCTACCATGCTACCTTGGTACCATGGGCCTGGTGGCTTTCTAGGGTATGGGGGTGACTCACTGGGTTAGAAAGGATTTGCTATGCATACCTCTGCCTAGCCCCTGATGGAATGAATGTGGAAAATTTTTCTAGCTTCAGAGAATGCAGCATTTAGGGGCTAACCAATCATCTGAAATTCCTGTAATAAATGAAAAATAAACACACAGCCGAGGATATAATTCAGCTAACCTCTCTCCTGAACAAGTCAGATTCTAGATAGAAAGCAGATTTTCATATTTACTGTATGTGACAGCTGTAGGAATTAAATGAATCATCTGTCTATCTCCATCGCCTCGTTTCTCTTGCACTGTACGCATCTATCCCAAGGGCTGTCTATCTTCCCATTTCTGGGAAGACAGATACAGTGTAGTTTCAATTATTAATTCTGTGTTTGGATCACAGTAACACCAGTTCCAGTTCAGTGACCTGCAGTTCCCACTGATTTAAGTGATGAATTATCTACACTGCTATGTATTATTAACATTATTTTGTCTCTTACCCCTTCCCCATCAATGCATCAAAATAACAAAGTGCTGTTCTCTGGCTAAAAGGGCTGGTTTCCCTTCCCACATTTCCCACAAGGGTGAAACAGAAACACACCAGGGAGGTAATTACCCTGATCCCCAGGCCAGGAGCTGGATTATTTATTTTAACAGTGAATTATCTTTTTTTTGTGTGTGTGTGTGTGTGTGTGTGTGTGTGTGTGTGTGTGTGTGTGTATGAATCTTTCTTTAGGGGCAAGGGGAGGTGAGTAGTGGCCAGAACCTGAGTGGGGTAGGGAATGGGGAATGGCCTACAGGGGAGAATTTGAGAGGAGGGAATCAGGAAGTTGCTTGGTGGGAGTTAGGGAAGGCATGAAGGGAACTGGAAACTGGAATCCAGTTGCACTGGGGCTCCAAATGAATCTAACAGGACCCCAGACTCTAAATTCTACCGACACATTTGTACATTCTGAGAACTGAAGGTTGTGGTGGCACCTGCCACTGAATTTAGGGCATTTTCAGTCCCTGTGCCAATTCCTGAAATATCCTAAATGCTGTAGTGATGGTGGACAGCAGTAGGAGTGAGAGCTCAGTGCAAAGAAGAGGTGTGGAAAATGCCTGCAGGTGGATCTTCAGCGGAAAGTGATAGCTTTCAATAAAATGACACCGAGTCATGAAAAGACAGAGAGGTGGCTGGGGGCTGAGGCAGGGCAATCCTTACTTATTCATTTCCAATCTAGCAGGTGCCCCAAGAAAGAAAGATAAACCAGAAGGAGCCGATACACTCCCTCCCTCAGTCCGTTTTCTCCTCTTTTAAAAATGGCTGGAATAGAACCAAACTTCTTCAAGTCTTAAGCCTCTCAACAGCAACACTCATGTCCAGGCAGCTCCCAAGAACAGAGAGCAGGAACAGATAACACACCCGGCAAAGCTCATGCAAACCAAAGCGGAGGCACCTAGGGTCAGAAACCCCACCAGCCAAGCCCAAAGAGTAAGACCCAGGCATCCCGAGACCTCCCAGCTTATGCTTCAGGTAGAAGATTCTAACTCGGAGGGTGGGGGTGGGGGGAAAGGGGAAGGACGATTATCCAGGTCTTGCTCTTAACTGTCCAAACGCCAGAATGTCCTAGGACTGTCCCCCTCACAGGGCCATACCTTCTTAGTACTGAGACGCACCTGCTTCTAGCCCACCTTAGGTTGTACTGTATTGTCTAGTCTGATTGCCACCTTTCATCTGACTCCGACATATCATCCTTTGTCCTTTGTTTTTCTTTTCCTTTTAAAGGCCTAGAGTAGACTAACCTAAGAAGTAAGGATTCTAACCCCCCCCAGCAACCTAGCCATTAAGAAAAAGCACAGAGTGCTCCAGAAGCACCCCAGAAATGAGCCATGTTCCTATCTAACCCATCTCCAAATAAGGAGAGGAGGAGCAGAAACCACCATGATTAGATTATATGGAAGAGGGTCAAAGATTAAAAATCCTCTGCCTTTCATTATCAGACTCAGGATGACAGATTCAGACCAGAGCACAAAAGGAAATACATTATTCTAAAACAGGATATGAAGCTCAGTCCCAAGAGATTAGTCTCTGTTAAATAAATTTACTATCTAATCTTTTAACTGTCTTCCTAAAGTGCTCGTCCAAGATTCTCTCCCTGCTCTGTCTGAAGCCAGACCTTAGACAGTGCTGTCTTCTGCTCTGAGCTCCATTAACACTCTCATTGAACGTGGGCCCATCTAACATGATGGCGGGGGAGAGCGGCTGGAGTGCAGGGCCTGCAAGTGAAATTTACTCGATAATAAAAACAGGATGTGTGCAAGAGAGACGAGGACTGATTTCAGGGAGGATAGGGATGCCGCATAAGGAAAAATATCTTGGCATTGGCCTCATAGCTGCAAGTCCTATCAACTAGGTGATTATTCTCCAAAATCGCTTTGCGCTTGTCCTGAGGAAACTGGCCTCCCCTGTTTCCACATGTCCAGGCAGTCACAGACCACTCAGTCTCAAGAAGCCACATGCCAAAGAATCCCACACACAGGGATTATTCCAAGCCAGGTCAACCTTCAGAATCTCTGATTGTGAATGAATGCTGCCTTGCTATCCAAATTCCACAAGCAAGAGAATGAGGAGTGTATTTAGATTCAGGACAGTATCATTAACTTTCCAAACAATGAGAAAAGCAAAGAAGAAGCAGAGCAAGATGGGGGGAAAAGTCAATTTCTTAATGTATTCTCTATCTTCCTGCTTCTGTTGACATGGCAGGGGGAAAGAGAACAAGCATTCATTAACCACCTACCATTCTCCAGTCGTCATGCTATTGTCGTTCAGTCCCGTCTGACTCTTCGTGATCCCCCTTGGGGTTTTCTTGGCAAGGCTCCTGGAGTGGTTTGTCATTTCCAGTCACTATGTTAACAAGTTTACAAATACCTCATTTGTTCTACACAACCCTGTAAGAAAGGTGCTATTCTTATCCTCATTTTACAGTTAAAGAAACTGAGGCAGATGGAGGTTAACTGACATGGCTGGCGGCAAACAGCCAGTGAGTGTCTAAGGCTAGGTTTGAACTCAGGGCTTCCTAACTGCAGGCCTAGCGCTCTATTCACTATGTACCCCCTAGATACGTAACGTGAGAGAGCCAGAAGATGTCAGATCCTTTATTTACTTACCATGAAGGGAGCATTTTTTCCTTCAAATTTATCACTATTTAAAAAAATATTCTGTTTAGTCTTATTTTGCTGAACTATGTATGACACGTAGTCTTTATTGAGAATGAATTTTGCCATGAAGGCCCCTCTAGGACCAGGGCGTGTGATTTTTTTCTGTAAGTGGGCTCAATATTTTTAGGTTCAGTAAATTCAAAGTTTCAAGAAAAGGCAACTGTGATACATTCCAAAGAGTCCTTGTGTTGGAGTCAGAACTGGCTCTCTAGCTAGCATACTGCCTATTTGACCAGGGTAATTAACTTGGCTTTACCTCAGCTTTCTCATCAATAAAATGGAAATCAGGGCAGCTAGGTGGCTCAGTGGATAGAGCACCAGCCCTGAAGTCAGGAGGACCTGAGTTCAAATCCGACCTCAGACCAAACACTTGACACTTACTAGCTGTGTGACCCTGGGCAAGTCACTTAACCACAATTGCCTAAAAAAAAATAAACTAAAATTGAAATAAAATAAAATGAAAATCACAACGCTTGAACCAACTATGTCCCAGGGTTATTAGAAAGTACCTTTATGAATATGAATTATTCTTATTTATAAACTACACAATTAAAAAAAACCCAACTCCGTAGGTAACATTTATCTCTCTTTTAAATGCCCAGTTCATTTCAGATGGGAAGCTGATGTAGAAATTATGAACTTTTGGGATGCTGGTATCTGAAACATTTCACTTCATTCAAAGTACAAGAAAGAGTAAGAGGGAAGAGCATGGCGTATCGGAAAGTGGGCTGGATCTGAAGTCAGAGGACTTTGAGTGAAATCCTGGATCCTCCACCTATGACTTCAGTGACCATGGAAAAGTCATTTAACTTCTCTGGGACTCAGTTTTCTCATCTGTAAATTGAGTAGTTGGATTTAATCTTTAAGGTCCCTTCCAGCTCTGAATCTCTGATTTTCTAAATGCATGTGCATGCATGCATGCACGCACGCGCACACACACACACACACACGCACACACGCACATTCACATCACAGGAACCCTATCCTTTGGGAAAGGAAGAATTCTGGACTCAGAAGAATTTCAGTGATGCTAGTGTCCTAATAGATATGTCCACATCCTCTTAGAAACCTCTTATTGCTGGCCTACGAATCCAAACTCCGAAAAGGATGAAACTAAATTCCTCAACTCCTAGAAATCTCAGTCCTACCAAAGAACGTGAGTTAGCAGCATTCTTCTAGGTTCTACGGGCTCTGTAAAAATCCATGGGAGGATGTAGTCACCATGAATCTAATCTAGATCCTCATCAAAACACCTCTTATAGGCACACACATGCACATACAAACACATCGCATACTTTTCCAGTGATGGCTGAGAGTAATGGCTTCATGAGGGTGAAGAGTTTGCTTACTCTGTAAGAACTATAGTTACCTCCAAATGTGGGGGAAATGTAAATCAGCCGCAACGATTAAGTCTCCCACACTTCATGGCCATTTTCTGTAGTCTCTAAGGAAAGACACACGCACTCCATTTCTAAAGCAGTGGGGAGGTGGAGGGCACCATCAAGAATGATTACAGTATAAAATGGCCACACACAGACATAATACTTAGAGCAGCGAACGTGAAGGATAGAAACTCCAAGAATGCCTCGTGTTTGTATAGCATACAGCCTCCCCAGTACTGGGGCTGGCTCCTTTCTGGGTGTCATGAAAACTCTAGCAAGCGGTGGAACAGTCAGGAAAACATTGCATGATTTCATGAGGAGTGTTCAGAGTTTGGAGTCAGAGGACGTGGGTTTGAATCTCAGCTCTGCCGTTTGCTACCCATGAATCTCTGGGAAGATCACTTCATCCCTCTCTATGGGGTCTGAGTTTCCTCATTTATAAATGGATGAGGCTGGGCTAGATGACTCCTAAGATCCCTATTAGCTCTAAACCTATGAGGCTAATGTGACTTCTGCCCTCGTTTATTTAGTTGGTTTCTTCCCTGGCTCTGACTGTGTGTATATTTTCCTTCCTCGTCCTTATTATGGTTAAATTCCACCAGTCTTCCTAACGACAGATTTCTGTGGCTGGGAGTAGAATAGGGTTAAATTCTGATAGGACCTTAACATCTATGGGTATGGGTATGAGCTCTTTCTCCTA